GAAAGATGTAACTGACCAGCCGCATGTGCCAATGCCCGTAGAGCCACAACAGTGTCCTGTGTGGAGTAGAATCCACCCTGCTCATTCTGTTGTGTAGACAGCCAGCGGATAGTGGGCAGCAATTGGGTGATAGGCTGAGACTCCGCCAGAGCGAGGTACGCGTAGGCCGTCGTCTCGACCTCCGAGGCGGGATAAGCTGTATTCTCATCGTTCCACCAGCGCAAAGCTCCGCTTCGGGACTTCTTTTCAGATGCCCTGTTCGCTAACTCTCTGTAAACAAGCTCCTGCTGTTCAATCGATTTTCGGAGAGCGGGAAGACGTCTGAGTGCATAGGCCACTTTGGCAAGAGCTCGTTGGGGAATTTCGGTGACATTATACGCCTCCATTGTGTCCAATAGACATCTATTGGCCAACTCCATGGTAGTAGAATACGATTTAAATTTGCTTTCTTTCAGGGCCACAGGCGCGTCAACCAGTGCTGAAAGGACATAGGAAGTTAGCAGGAGATCCTTCAGGAGTTTCGCCTTTGGAGAACTGTCTGCGACGTGCAGGTCTGACTGAAACACTCGCCCATACTCCGCAAAACAGCCGTCTTCACGTTGTACTGCACTCAGAAAGTCGAAGGCCGTTGAGATTGTGGGATAGAAATCAGTGTTGGTAGTTCGCAACTTGTCTAGCGCCTTCGCCTGTAGCAACCGTTCAGCCTCGCTGAAAACCCCGAATACGAAGGCTGTTAACCAGGTACTGCCGATGCCGTGCGACTGTCCGAAAGTTGAGAACGAGCCATTATCATGACGATAGTTGAGCTGGTTTGTGTAGCCGCTGCCAATGTAGTTGATTGCAGTCTGTGCCAACTTCTTGGTTTCGGCCTCATGCAGGTCTGTCGCTGCAACCAAATACTTCAGCACGTATACGCTCGGTGCCACCTTCACCATATTCTGCTCACCACAGCCCGTTGGTAGGCGAACCAGATTATCCAGATTCTTCAGGGCCTTACCGAGCACATTGCCGCTCACGGAGACATAGCTGCGCAGTGAACCCTCCACTATGCGATCAGGCAGGTCCAACTGCATTACGTCCGTCAACGGCATTCCGCCATCGGAAAGGCACAGCACTCCACCCACATTCGTCTCAGCTTCCACGCCCTCGGGTACGATGAGAACTGAACGTCGAACAGCATCTGTCACGGAGGCTTTCTGTTGGCTGGACACAGGTCCTTTGCTGCACATGGCTGATTCCGACTTCGCCACGGCCTCTGCTGTCACATTCAGTCGCCCCAGCTTCTGCGGTTTGAGAGCCAGTGTGAATGTGGTCTTTGGATCACTCTGACACAGGCAAGTGCTGAATTCGGAAGTGCCAATCAACTGCCAGTCCTTGGGGTCCACAGACACTGACACGAGAACCTCGTAACAAGTCTTTTCATCTGCACCTCCATTGGTCGACAGCATGAAGACACTGACAGGCAAGTGCAAGACCTCTTGTCGCTTGGCCTTCACTGGGGGTGTGAATTCGACGTAGAAGGGCAGTGAGACGGTGATTGCCTCGGGCTCCAGTCTGGGTGGCATCCAGAGTCCGAGATCTTTGGTGAAGCAGAGGGCTGTGAACTCCCAACTAGTGATGCTGTCCGGCGCAGTTAACTGTGTTGCATATTGCCCAGCTTGGTTGAGTTTCACGTGGTCAAAGAGCCAAACCTCTGGGAAGAATTCACGAAGCCGCGGCTTCGACACAGCATCAACCGACTCTGGAGGTGACGCATTAACCGGTCCTTCAGCACCTCCTTTACGCGCTACTGCGTTGGAGATTGCTAACCGTCTGTAAATGGGTCCACCAAACATAGGACAAACGATACGTCTCTCAATGGACTTCTTCACTGGACTCGTATGAAGGTAGGATAGACCGATTGCATTGAAAGCCGCCTTTGTACTATCAAGAAAGTAGTCGCTGTAGTGAGAATGACGTTTATTCTGAAGTTCATCTGCATACTTGTTTAAGTCGATCACGGATTCTTTGAATTTCTCAAAGTTCTTCAAGGAGGTATCAACAAGACGCACAAGACACGAGTTTTCGACATCGGAAGTACCTGAGCCCCCGTCAATTGGAACGTTGAGCTTCATATCAACCCTCTCCCCAGGCATGACTCTATGCTGCTCAAAGCTATTTTGATTGAGTGATTTAAGCCGAGACTCGACGATGGCCGGCGTTGAGCAGAGTTTTAAATTCTCGATTTTCAGGTGATCGGAAA